CACAGTAAACCTTCATGCTTCAGAGGAACAGGCATCTACCAGAGGGATCCTAGACTTTTTAAAGAACACTGACCTAAGGCCAAAGACATAGCAGAAATGTTGTTTTGGTTCTGATGGTCTAAGGATGTGAGAGCCAAGGTTCATAGGAAGAGATATTAATCTTTTATTAAACCAACTGATACTACTGGAAAAAAAAAAAGATCTCAGAGAGGGCTTGCGTGTCTAAAATTCATTCTTTTCCCCCCCCTCCAACAATATCGTATGTTCTATTAAAAGATATTACTTCTTCCTGCAAGCCTTGTCTCTCCTAAACCCAAACAATGCTCCAGAGTGGTGAGGACACAGAAACAGGGAGAATTTTTTGTTATTATGTTTAGCTCTGTGTTGCTAGAAATAGAAACATATTTTCAGAGCCCTTTGCAAATCCTGCATGTGTGGTTTTTTTGACAAGCAGGTGTCCTCTGCGTGATGAACTATGACCAGGAGAACACTCAGGACAGACCTCTGGGAAAGGATGGAGCTAAATCCCCAAGAGGTTTCAAGCCCAGCCCAGGATTTGGGGCAGGATGCCAGAAGGGTAGGACATAGGAGTTTTGGACAGAGGGATGTCTTAATGAGGTTTAATGCCTACATAAATCTTTCCTCTACTAGACATGTGTCTTCACTGCTGATGTCCGACCCATGTAAGGACATTACCTTGGAAGTTATTAAGGACTGTTGCCTATGATTTAAGACTGTGTTCTCTTCTAAGGATGAAGAAATACTGCCCTTTCCCCGGGCAGCCGCCACATGATTTTGTTTTAGAATCAGATTATGCATTTTGGGGGACAAAAGGAAAATTATGTGGATTTTACTGGAGCACAGGTGAGTTCAGAGCCACAGAAGGGCTCTGGGAGCAGCCAAACCCCAGTCTGCTGGGACAAAGAGCAGCTGGGGGTCCTAAGAGCAGCCCCGGTGATGCCCACAGCTCTGGACAACACCCCCGTCCCCCTCCCAGCCACAGCGACAGCCTCCAGCTCCCTGGGCAGCACTGGGCAGGCACCGTGTGCCTGACTGGCTGCAGTCTCCATGCCACGCTCAGCTTGGCTGAGGCACAACATCCCTGACCTGCAGCATCCCACCACCTGCTGTCACAGTCCTGACTCATACCTAAAAAAATCGCCTACTCACACATTTTTTTAAAGAAAACAACAAGGCAAACGAAATCCGCCCGAATCTTTCCTCTCCAGTATGGATATATTCCATCCTGCCTTCCCACAGAGACCCACACCAAAGATTGCACAGCACATTACACAACACATCACAGAAATGCTTCTTCAAGCATCCCCGCCTTTACTCTTCACACAGAAGCTGAGCTACTTCTCCCTGTCTCCGCAGTCCCTCCACTTTCCTCCGCTTTCTAATCAGATGCTGTTTCACCTCTCCCCACCACCTACACCTCCACAACTATCTTCTCTCCATTCTGTCTTGTTGAAAGAAGGTTTAAAGGCAACAGCTGATGGGATCCCTCTGTGATGCACAAGGAAAAGGACGCATCTGTCTTCAGGCAGAACATGGAGAGCCTTGTGGAGAGGGGAAACAAGCCTCTCTGCTGCTTTTGTTACGTAAATGGTTGTTTTCTGTATCCAAATGTGTAACAGGAAATTAAGCAGTTCACCTTTGTTAAAGCACTTTTGCATCCCACAAATGCAGGAGCCAGATGGTGTTCTTTCTTTGTTTTAAAAGATTAAAAATGGGAAAGAAAGGAAATGGCTAGGAGCTAATCCTCAGCCTGGAACACACTCACATATCCACATGCCCAGTTACTCGTGCTCATGGGGCCTGGGCAGGAGCAAACACGGGGACCCAGCAGACTGAAGTGAGTCTGCTTGCAGAGAGCTCCGGACCTGTCACTTTGTGTCAGCTTTGAGGTGGAATCCTTCACTGTGTTCCCAGAAAATGACAAATTACAGTATTCTCCACGGGCTGCAGCTTGGACACACCAAGCGATACTTTCTAGAAACCACCTGAAGCAGAACTTTGCTCCAGGTCCTACTAGTGGGAATAGCAGGCTGTCGACAGGGGAGGGCTGCTGTGCACAAACACTGAGAATCAGACTTGGGAATTTCACCAGGCAGGTTGTAGATGTGACCAGGGACAGCACCAAAGAGTTTCAAAGTTCAACTCCTCAGCCACATCTCCACCTTCCATAGGTGAGACCCAGGAGCAGTTTAGTTCTCACCCCTGAGCTCATTTTCTCTCTGTCTGTATCCATTCAAAAGCCCTCACTTGGGGTACCTTGGTGAATTTTATGATAGGTCTGTGCACTCAAAAGGATTGTCCCAGGAGCCTTGAAGAGCCAGTTTTCATGCAAGGGATGTTAGGAATTAAAATTGCAAAGAAGACAGAGCACAAATGCACAACTGTTGTGAAGCCATATTGTTTTTCTCACCTAGGCTTGCAGGAGAAAGTGAATGATTCTTCTTACCAGTTAAAGTCAAGTCTAATACAGTCAATTCACGAGCCCCATGTGGCTTCATTAGTGTCACAAGCAGGCTTCTGTTCAAAGGGTTGACTACTCTTGTATAGGGAACTTACTTAGAAGTGCAGGTTGCCACACAGAAACTAAATAGATTTCCCAGTCCAGAGACAGCAAGGCTCACATCAGTTCTTGTAGAGAATGAATGCAGCACTGCTGTGCAAAGTCAGAGGGAGAGGAGAGGACAGGTACAAGATAGTGGTGAATGGGGAAGGACAGAGACTGTCACATAACCGTGAGTGCACCTGAAGGGTGAATAATGAGATCAGCTCCATGTGCTCTCCTGGTAGACATGTCCCACAAGATACTGATTAGAGAAGGAAAATAAGAAACAAACCAATCTATCTGGGTTCTTACATGCTGGGAGGGGTGTGGTTGGGCTGTGGCTGGAGGAGGGATGGACACTTGGCCCCTGGACTTCTGCTCTTTGCTGGGGGGAATATATGGCTTGGATGGGCTTCCCAGCTCTGCCACTGAATCCTGCTTTGGCCTTGGGCAAGACACGTAAACCCTCTGCCCCTCACGCCACCAATGTAAATATGGGCAATCAGAACCTTATTTTGCTAGGCCCCTTCTTTGGACTGTAACAGAAAAGGTCTCCATGCGTGCAGAGCATGGACTTACTGATCAAAAGTTTTAAAAGTACCAAAAGTCAGTGAAAACAGAGAAAGGAAAATCAACAAAGAATAAAAGGCTGTGCTGGTCTGAAGCTCAGCTCTTGCTCTGGTAAACAGGTGACAACTAGTTACTACTTTGGTCATGCATGGCAATTTGCGCTAGCAGAGAAAAGTCCACTAAAAAGCCTTACAACACTGCATGAGAAAGCATGGAGCAATCCTCAGCAAAGTGTTTTGCACAGACAGGATGAGGTCTACAGGACACCACCACAGAGAAGACAAAAATCCCACAAAAACAAACTGGCCTGTGGAGATCATCTCAATTTTGGGGGCCCCTCCCTGCCTTCACATGTCAATAGCAGCAAATTCTCCCATTGCAGAGAGAGCTCTCGGTGCTGCAGGAACACAAGCTCGGATGGGATTGCCTCAAGCGGTGTGACACTGAATGTGGTTGGGGGAGGTCTAACACGGCTGAAGGAAAGGAAGTGGGCAAGAAGGTGGTTAATCGCACGGGCTGCTTCTCATCCTCCTCTGGGCTCTTCTCTCTCCCACTAGCTCCTTCTTGAAGCTTCAGCAGTGATGGGACCATAGCCACCTCTCTTCCCTCATCACTGCCCAGTAACTGCACTGAGACCTTTTCCCAACATGGGCTTTTGTGCTGCACAGTGAAGATTGGTTCCCTCGCTGGTAATTAAACTTAGTGATAAGCCAATGTCCTGGGCTGGGAGAGGTGATATGTCTCAGCAGAAATCTTAACACATTTTTCCTCCTCCCCAACACAGGAACTGCGCTTGGCAACTACTTATCACATAAAGAAAACCCTCTGAATGAGATCAAGACCACAGGTCAACCCTTTCTCAGGTAGCTGACAGAAATCATCCTCAAAGCCAAACATCCATGTTGTAACCAGAAATAAACCAGCTTTAGCCCAAGCATCAGGCTAAAAACCACTGCTCCTTAGCCTGAAAAGCCCTTTCCTGCTGGTGGATGGCCCAGCGACGAATGCCTACTCCAGTGTGCTTCAAACACTTTGCACATCACAGCTTATCCTGTAGCTGAGGAAGGGTGAGAAACATGCCATCCCCCCAGGGAGGCTGCCATCCCAGGCAGATAGGGTGGTGCAGACAGGTACAGAGGGAGTGTGCAAGACAAGGGGACAGTGAGCACAAATCACAGAAGAAAAAGCTGGAAAGGCATTCCTGGCTCATTGACTCCGTCCCCAGAGACAAGTGCAGGATAAGCCTCTGCACTAAACCCAGGCATTTTTATCTAGTTGCTTCCTGAACTTCTTTAATGACAGGCCCTCAGCAACATACCTCTGGCAAATTATTCCATTGTCTAAATGATGACCCTGCTGGAAAAAAGTGTTTTGAGGTCGAACCTAAATTGCCTATTATTTCCTCTTCCATATTTTATGCACTTATCAGTCATTCTCTCAGTTGCTTTTTCTCTAGGTCCCTGTGTTAAGTTTCTTTAATCTAACACCAGGGGTCACAGCCTGTAGTTTTTGTCATCTCTTTGGATTACCTTTATTTATCAATGTCTTCAAAAAAGAGGGAGGAAAAATAGGAAGGAAGTAAGAATGGGATGACTTCAGAGCCATCCCAAAGCATGTGACTGTGTGCTGGGGTATCACAGAGAGCTCTGTGTGTAGGCATCTGCATGGATGTCTGAACTACAAGCATGCCCAGGACTGAAAAGGAGTAAGGACAGTGGTTCAGGGATGCCTGATCGACATCTGTGCGCACGTTTCAGTGAGGGAATGACCAAGCGAGTGAGCCCAAGAGCTCCAAAAACTGATTTACTGTAACATTTCCTAGTCTCCCTTTGCTCTGAGCATCAGACTGCTGCTGGAGCTGCCTTACCCTGTAGTAATCAGTGCTGTAGACATCTCTTGACATCCCAAAGTCTCCAATCTTCACCAGCAGGTTGGCTCCGACCAAGCAGTTCCTGGTGGCCAGGTCTCTATGGACAAAGTGCTGGGAGGCAAGGTACACCATTCCAGAGGCGATCTGGCTAGCGATGTGGAGCATCTGGGATAGCCCTAGCTCCCCTTTGGCTTGTCGAGGCTGCCCATCCACGAGGATCATAGCATCTGGGCCATGTGCCCTATAGGGAGGAAGAAGCAAAAAGCATAGAGTTGGGTCTCAAAAGTGACCAGGAGATAGGAATCCCACACGGTCGCTGTTCCTGCTGGTGTGGGGACTAGCCCCCAACTCTGCACTGTGAGGATGTACACACAGCTCCAGTGGAAAGACAAAAAGAAAAGCTTAAGAGAAAAGGAGGTTGGGGCAACATTTGGTGGCTGAGTGGGTGCCATACATCCTTATCCTATCCTTTACTCTACTGCAAGCAACCTCTTATGGCCACAGATGGAGACAGGCCGCCAGGACAGAGGGACTGTTGGCTTGATGCAACATGGACATTCTTCTCTGGCAAGACCTATGCAAAACTAATGAGCTTCCAGATATTTACATGTTTGCTCCAGTTAATTCTTACACCTTGGAAACCTTCCCAGAGGTAGAACTATCACCCCCTTTTCTTTCACAGCCATCATATTCTTGCTACCTAGTCTCATTATTAATCCCAAAGAGCCTCTTCTATTTCCTCAAACACCATATCACCAAACAACTGCCCCCGATCGATATCAATACAGCTAGAGATCACAGAAAAGGTTTCAGAGGAACACCAGCAGCTTCATCTCTGGAAAATACCTTTTATACCCTAAGCTGTCCCAGAGGTAACACAGGTAGTGTGAACTGTGAAGGCACGAGCACAGGTGCAAAGGTTAGACCTGGATGTCAGCAGATGCAGAGAACATCCTGAGCAACAAAAGGGAATATTTTGCTGAACCAAATGCATTGTAAATACAGGACTTAAGGTCAGTCTCATTCCTGTCCTGTCCCCTTTTTAGTCCCCCTACCTCGCTGTGTACCAAGACTCTCTGCCATGCTCCCTCTGTGATGTTTTTTCCCTGGTAGAGCTCACCCTGTGGTAGCCTGTGTGAAGGTGGAATAACAAAAGCCCTCATATTTAGGAAAAGCCAGAGATTTTGCTGTGACCTTCCTCCTTGTGACTAAGATACAGTACAGCATTTCCTCTGAGGCTTTCATACTGATCTCTTTGAAATGATTCTTGGCATTTCACTCCTGTCATGAGCAGTAACACCACAGAGAGACAGCAAATTGAAATTACACATACAGAGCTTTCCCTCCTTCTTGACATGGGACTGAACAACCCACAACAAGATCCAAACTGTTTCCTTCCTTTGTCTCTGTTCCCTAATTGCTCTGTGGGGCCTGAAGGTGCACCAAAGGGATTAGCATCCAGGCATTTGGAGTTCAACCGATAGTTTTTCAAATGCCCTCCTCTTCAGCTACCTCCTGCAGCCCTACCACTGGGAACACGGTCCTGAAGGTCCCCTCCTGGTAGAACGGACAGCTGGAAGAGAAGAGGGACTCCAGAAACGAGTGCTGAGGAGCCAGGAGTGGGTTTTGGGAGCCACAAGTGGGTGATGCTGCAGTGAATGTGGGGTGAGCTGGCTGGGAGCAGCACTGCAGGCAGCAGGGCTGGGGCTGCCAGAGGCATCTCGGAAGCTCATGGGCATGGTGGGAGCAGCAGCACACTGGGACAACTGCTGAGGGCAAAGAGGAGCTGCAGAAGAGTGTCTGCAGAAGTGCTTGATGTCTTATTTAAACAGCCCACAGACGGGTTTACCCCAGGAAATTACCTGGTGGTGACAACAGATGTCGGCAGCATGTGAAGCTGAGCCAGGATTGAGCAGGTTAGCTAAAAACAGCAAAGCAGGACAAACAATAGCTTCTAAAATTGTGCTGGACAGTTTGTCCCAGTCATGCCTTGCAGTTACAACATATTTAGCTGCAGCTGATACCTGTTGTCATCAAAGGTGAACATTCCTAGGTGAGAAGTGAAGCATATATTACTATCTCATTACTGCCATCTTTTTCAAATACAGTAATGGTCCCCAAAGAAATGTCTGTGTCTGAAGGGAACGGGTGATGTCTAAAAAATGGTCAGCCAACACCTTTATTTCACTGGCTCTTTGTACATCCTACTATATAGGACACATCTTGGTATGCCCTATATAGTACATACACTGCCCTCCCTCGCTTTCTCCATCCCACATGGTTATAGTCCACAAAAAAGAAGTATCAACACATTTATGAGATTAACAGGAAGGATATTAGTACATTTATTTGCGTCAAGAAGCCTACAGGGAATATGAGAAGGGTCTGCCCATCTTTTCTTGGGGAAAAGGGTTTAATTCAGCTTTACAGAGAGGCCATAAAATTGGGTGGATCCCCTGTTAAAGAACTCTTGGGGTTTTTTTCCATTATGGAGTGAGAGAGGCTTTTGTCAATGTGAGGAAGAAAATCACCCCTCTGGCTTCCTCTGCTGGAATTCCTCTTTCTGTCCCAAGACAGTCAGACTGTGGGGCTGCTTCACTGGAAGGGCTGACACAAAAAACTCAGAACTTTGCAACTTTTCTAACAAAATCTATTGCCTGTCTGAGTTAACACCAAATAGCAACAATTTAATATAGACTGCAAAGAGGGGCTGTAATAGCAACGTGCAAATATCCCTACTTCAAATTTACTGCTGTCACAGACAGAAAACAAAAGCTAGAAAACCAGTGGCAGAAGGAAAGGGAGGAAGCGATGGAGATACTTAGTGAGCAGAGAGGGGAGGCGGTTGCTGCAGACCACTGAGCACTGGGTCTGGGTGCCAGGGAGCAGCCAGCCTTGCCACACACACAACCTGCGGGCAGTCTCCAGCCCCTGTGTACACCAGTCCTAGGGATGCCGTGCTCCCTGGAGAGCAGCTCCCGTATTTCTCCACAGCAGGATCTTTTCACTATCCATTTTCTGTTAGCCAGGATACCATGACTGCAGTGTCCCCCAGTGTGGACAGCAGGGTAAGTTGCACCACTAGCAATGGTCTTACACACAGGGGCCCTAGGAGGCGTACAGAGCCATCCCAATACATGCCACCTCTAACCCAGCTGGCAGGTGGTGATCCTAGTTCTTCCCTTTGCCACACCAGTTAATTTTACAGACCAGTAAAATTCTCTCTCTTCTCTGGGAAGCGCACAAAAAGGTCTAACGACACTTAGGGGAATTTATTTATTGTGCTTTTCTCTAGGAAACTGGGTCTAAAGTGAGCCTCTTCCATTTTACCACTTTTCCAATTTCTGCAGTTAAACTGGGAAAAGTCCATCTGAGTGTCTGTTACAGACTCCCAGCATCCCTGGCCTCCAGTGCCTGGGAGCAACCATCTACTGCTGTGGGCTGGGTGAATCATGCCACAAGAAAAACTGCTGCTTGCTGAGGGATGCCAGGCACTCCTGCACCACCAACCCTCTTTGACCTGCACCACCAACCCTCTTTGACCCCCTTGCAGCCCCTGTCCCCCAGAGTTTCCCGCCAGCAGATAGCTGACCTGACAAAGCCCAAGACTCTCTTTCCATATGCCCCCTTAGGCATTTTGAGTTCCCGTTTGCTGGGTATAAGCTCCCTTATCCCAAAAGCCAGCTTCCTTTGGGACACAAAGGGATTTCACTGCCTATCACACACCAACATGCAGAGAAGGGAGCTCATAGCTGCTTGCTCCATAGCTGCATGAGAAGGAGAAGCTGGCAGCTAAATGCAGCTGGAAGATGAGAGGCTGCAGTCCCAGGGACCACACATCTGGAAAGTTTCTTTTCCTTCATAAAGGCCAAAGATAATACAACAACGAGTTTTCTTTTCCAGTGACACCGGAACAGGCCCTGGCCTCCCAGGGCATGAGTGTTTCTCAGACATGTCCCAAGGCATGATATATCCCTCTGAGACAGTGAGAGCGCTTGTTTTGGACTATACTGTTTGGGAGGTCATCTAGAGCAGTGAAGAAAGCTATGCCTCAGCTGTAATGTCTACCTCCTCTAGGGAGAATAAGGTTGCTGGTTCTGCCAGGAAAAAAGATGGGTCAATTTTCTGCTCTTCCTTGTGAAGCACTTCAGGAACACAGTCTCTTATGCTCTTCTTTAGACTGCCTTCCTCCAGTGACAAGGCTGAGGCACTGTCCTTAACACTGCATCTCAAATCTGCGCTAGAACACCATTTCAGCCCAATGCACAGTTCCATGCCAGTAGGCAGAGTTCAATCTGCTGCTGCTGGGAGGTTGCTGAGCCCCTGCAAGACAGGGTACCACAAGAGAGGTTCCTAGGGTAACCAAGGCTGCTCCCCCTTGAATGTGGGTCTGGGCAGCTCTGCAAAGCTAGTGTAGCATCAGCCTTCACTCATCCTACCTTGCCAAGCATGTCATCTATCCAGAGCCTGAGACAGGGACCGAGCTATAAAATCATATTCAATCCACCCACAACTATGCCAAAATGAGGAGAGAAACCAATGCAGAGATGTTCCCAGCTCAGCCACTGCCCTGTAAATGCCCCAAGGGAGCTGCAGACAGGTTGGCACTGCTTGACAGAGGAAAGAAGAAACCTCTGGGGTCCTTCCCCGTAGCTCTTCTGGTGTAGGTGATTGCTTAGAAATGAAAACCTCAGGGAAGGACCTGTGTTTCCTGGTCAGAAGCTGACTGTGATGGTGGAAAAATAATCACTGAGTGTATCCCAGCCCCAGATCTAGACCTGCTGTGCTCAAGCTTCTTGTTCCTGCTGCAATCATGTTCACACTTAGCAGTCAAAACAGGAAAATATCAAGGGTCCAATTTTCTAAATACTGGGAAATAAAACTACTAATTATTTCAAGAGGTAAGTACCACTCCACTTGCACGCAGGTTTTAGAGCGTAATTTCTGTATCGTGGGAGAACAGCACCACAAACATCCTCCCACAGTTGCTCCCTGCCCCTCACCGCTGGCAGATTCAGGGCACACAAGTGATCTGCCTCACACTGATGAAACGGTTGAATGATGACTGGGGGGGGCTTCTGCAATTTGCATCTCTTTAGAGGCAGGGAACGCAATTATGGCACTTCGTCAGGCCTTGCCTAGCTTCTTGAGTAGTGTGGTGCCACAGGTTAGGATATTTTGTCTCTGAGTCAGGTTCTCTGTCTGATGAGGCTTAGGGAATAAGGACCAGGGATGGACTCCACAGGCACCACCTGAGGCCCCTCCAACATTTCTCAGGTCTTTTCTGAATGTAGGAATGAGAACTGGAGATCAGTAAATGCCCAGGATACCAATCAGACCAAGGACTTCAGCAAGTTTCTCAGAAGAATATTTTCGTTCTTGTGCTATCCAGTCAGGAGCTGGGTGACATGGGGAGTGATGGCTAGCAGCCTTCCTGCTCCAGCAGGGCATGGTTTTGCTGGGTGTATGGGACTCGGAGCTGCTGACAGCCATGGCTCCCTGTCCTTCTACCCGCCCAGAGCAGAGAGGGATTGCAGCCACACTTCCTGCAGCTTCAAACTTGCTGGGGTGGGAGAAGAAAAGTCTGGTTTCCATAGCTCACAGGGACTATCCCTGGGACTACCTAAGAGGAATTATTGGGTTAGGGCTAATAAAGCACCAAATCTAGTGAGGACCATCATCTCGTACAAGCTGTCCTTGGAACAACCAGATCTCATTACTCAGCCCACCAGCATCCACGCGGTAATGGTGCCACTGGTGCACCACAGATCTATAACAAGCCACACTGAGGCTGCAGGGTGGCTGTACAGCATCTCCCGTGCCCTCCTTCGCACATACCTCAGGAACTTGTTCAGGTCGCCATGCTTCATGTACTCGAAGACCATGATGAGCGGGTCACCATCACCACACACACCATAAAACTTGACAATGTGTTCATGCTGCAGGTTGGTGAGCAGCTCTGCCTCCCTCTGGAAATCCTTACGGGCTGCCAAGGTGGGGTCTTTCAGCGCCTGAAAGAAGGGGCACAGATACACACAGGGTGGGCTCAGGTGGGGGCAAAGCCAGAACAAACGGGTCACAGCATCGCAGAGGAGATGATAAGGAAGGGAGGGCAGAGGAAAAGCTGCCACCGGCCCAGTTGCACTGGGAGGGCTGGTGGTAGGTGCTGGTGGCACCACCTCAGTGTTTCGTTCATGTAGTTACTGGCCCAGCGGGTTCCCCAACTCATTTCCCAGGCAGCAGCAAACATGCCTCAGAGGGCAATAGCTTCCAATTATTCCCAGCTTGGGCAGGATTTGTACTGGTGACCTAGGGGTGAATGGCTTCATATCTCATTATTATTAAATTCCTGAGCCAGCCAGTCCTTGCTATCTGTCTTTTATTTTGAAATAGCTGACTATACTGCCTTTATTCAGAAGATAGATTTGCCTGGCTGTGCAGTTATTGTGTGGATTTTTCAAACTGCCTCTGAAGAAGGACACTGTCAAGTCTTTTCTCATAATTTTTAAAATCATGTTTTTATTCCATGCTGTTTATAACAGCTCCCCTGGCAGACTGATGCTGAAATTGGTATCCTTATTGAGAATATCTCATCTTCCACATTTGAGCACGCCATTTTGCCATTGCAGGGTAGCTTGCAGGCTCCGGGCTGTGTGGACCTGCTGGACGTCACAGGGTTGCTGTGAAGATGTTGCTGTGGGTGCAGCCGGTGACTGGGGAGGGTTCCCCAGGGTTGCAGTCTGGCTTCTCTATGCATTATTGTGCAGTTGCAGCAGAAAGCTAGTGTGAAAGCAGCATGTTGTCACCCCAGGGTGTCAAGGGAGGGCACTTAGTAAAAAAGTTGAAGTCCAGAACATTTGACGAGATGGGATGGCCACGAGAATCAGCATGATCTTTGCAAAGATTTAAGGAAACAAAGAGGTGATTCTGGTTTTGAGTTGCTCGGTCTCAGTTATATTCTCCTCACCCTCCAAATGCCAGGATGTTTAGTACCAGTTCTAGCTTTAACCATGCAGCCTAACGGGAGTCAAAAAGGCTTCAAGGCAACTTGTTTGAGTTATCCCCAGATTTAATCTGATGTGCACCGGTTCCCCCTCAGTGGTGGGGGACAGTAGGTAGTTCTCCCCTTACCTACACACAAATATACCTGCCGTGTTTTCCCCATGTCTTGAATCTCCCCGTGCGAACAGGGGAGGTGGCATCACCAGGTGCAGGCTCCAATTTATGTGCAAAAAGGGATGTTAAGCATCAGAAAGCTGTGCGAAGAGGAAGGGGCAGAGCACACTGCTAACGCACTTTCGGCTGGTCCACGGCAGTGCTGGGTGCAATGGCACGCACAGCGAAGTAGTGAGTCCTCCAGAGTAGCTGCTTTTCGCCTTGGAGAAGAACTGCTGCGAGTTTTTTACCCAATCCTTAGGACACTGCCTCATCTCCTTCTTCTGCCCCCAAACTGCTAGTCACATGGCATAATTGTATTTTAATTCTATGTCCTCTGGGGTAGCTTGGCTAGAGATATTTAGATGGATGTTAGTTACACAGTGCAGATGGCAAAGCATCTATCCTTATCTCAGGCACCCAATTTCTTTTAGTCATTTAATAACTTCATAATGTTGATGCTATCCTATTTTTCCCCAGGAAAACAGTCCCCTCCCCCATCACTCTTTTCTCCCCCTTTTTCCTGTGCTTGCATGTAATATTTCAAGCTCCAGTGAGTTTAGGTTTCCTCTCCTTCACACACAATCATTTCTACAAGGTGTTAGGACTGTAAGTTTGTAAATATCACACACCAAAAAAAAAAAAAAAAAGAAAATATATTAAAAACCCCCACATTACTAACATTGCACAGCCAAGCATTTAGAAATGAGGAAAACAGGAGCTGGAAGTGGTAGAACAGGGAAAGAAGACCAGGACCAGAGAAGGGGTGTCTCAGCAAAACCACTGAAATGCCTCTCCTAGGAAGGTTTGGGGTGTATTGTATTTATGCCTCCATCACACAATTCCTGCGTGACATCTGGCAAGTCACTCAGCATCTGCAGGTTGCAGCCGTTGTCACGAAGTGTCAGTTGTTCCAATGTTACCTGGGAAATCCCCTCTCACGTGGCATCAGGGCCAGGTCTGCACAAGCACCGCATGTATTGCTGCAACAGGGGTCAAAGTGGGTCTGGTACCTGCTGTCTGCAGGGCTGGAAAGGCAGGTCAGGGACTCCATCCTCCACTTAAGTGGATCCTTTCAGCTCAGTTTCCCTGCTTCTCCACCTACCCTCTGCAAAATGGGGATGATACAACCCCAGGGCCTCAGTGGGAGGCTGTGAAAATGAGCGCACTCACATCTAGGGAGCTCTCGGACACAGATCATCACAATGGAACAGCCCATAGAGGAATGAAAAATACGTGTTAGAAGGACATGCCCTGAATACCAGCCCCTCCAGCATTTCTAGTACTTGACTTTGTAACCTCAGCACTCTGCCGAATATAGGTTTTTGTTCATTTCTTAGGATGTTTTCAGAAGCAAGCTGAATAAAACAGGAAGCTTGTCCATGCCATCACATCAAAACTCAGCTTATCTGCAGGGCTGCAACCTTTAGATCCGCTGAAAATCAGAGTCCATTTAACCGAGTGAGTAACACAGCCACTTTCTTTGGCCCTGGGGGCAAGTCCCTGAGAGCAGAGCAGAGGCAGACTCTGGGCTGTGGACTCAGCTGCCTTAACCAGTGTGTCTTGCTGCTGCCCTGAGCTGCAGTTACCGGGGAGGTCATTCTCAGCCTCTGTCAGGAGCACAAGATCTCCAGAAAATGCAGCCAAGTCTCAACTTAATATGTAAAGCCTTTTTTTCTCTTTCCCCCCCCCCCCCCCCCTTAAGACTTATAATGTGGCCCAAATTAGAGGGATTTTTTCCCTGCCCCCTGCCCCCTCCAGAGCTGGCAAGAAGCCAGATTTCAAGGCCCTGCTCCGAAGCTGGATCTGTATGATCTTGTGAGATGAAAGGCACTCTGGAGATGTAAGCTTATAGTAGCAATTAACAGAAACAAGTTCGGATGCTGTTTCTGCATAAATGCAAATGAAACTCGGAAGAGACTTGAGAGGCAGGATCGCATAAGGGATGGCTGACACTGATAGGCAGGTACTAGCCATATAATCAGGCAATTAATCATATGGGTAGCTGTGCTACCTCGGCTTTAGCCAGTCTCAGAGGTGGAATGTGCAATCTTGCAGTTCACGGCTGGAGCATAAGGGGACAAGTGAGCTAAAAAATTCCTTGAACTGCCAATGATTAAAACAACTCTTAAGTAACTGGATGCCTCCAGCATCCTGGAGAGAATGCTGGAACGTTTCTCCCTGTAGAGCATCAGTTCAAATGCAGATCTTCTTCCAAGGAGTTAGGAGGCATCAATTAACTCCCGGGGATTAGACTATGTGTGTCTGCCAACGTGCCACTTCAGAGGAGAGCACATTTCTGCACTGAGTGGTCTCCTCTGCCCAGAGCCACGCTGATGGGGCACAGCTCACATGAAGACCCTCACAAGGATGCAAACAGCACAGCACAAGCCAAGCTGAACTTGTGTTGGCGCAAAATCACCAAAACAGAAGCGATCTGTGGCTAGACAAGCAGGAGCTGGGTGGAGCCGAGCCGAGTTGCTTTGCCCATCTTGCAGCAAATTGATCCCAGCAAATTGGTTAGTCGTGCTTAGCTTTTAAGTGCTCATTTTTACTGAGGCCCTTTTTTGTTTCAGCTTCTGCACGTTCCACAAAGCGATAAAATCCGGAAAGAGAAGAGCCCCACTCCCTCGTGGAGGGAAGGTGGACTCCAGACTGCGCTGCTGCAGCTGCAGGGGAGCTTACAGCTTCCAGACCAGCTTCTCCTCCCCGTCTGTCTCCTGGCCACATCGGCAGGAAGAGAGGCTTTGGCATCGCTGAGAATAGACAACCTTGAAGCGAGACACTGAAACTTTGCGTGACTAAGTGGATTTACCACAATCTCCAGCATCAGATAAATCTCCGCCCCTGGCCCCCAGCCCTCCCCTGCTTCCCTTTCCCATGCAGGCTCATCCAGCCTTGCTTTGCCAGCCAGCCCCTGCCTTGCTCTCTGCCATTCGCCCTTGGGATTTACCTTCACTGCCACCAGCATTTTGTCATTGGTGGGGCTGAGGTTGTAACACTCGGCCAAGAACACCTTCCCAAAGGCACCTTCTCCCAGCTCCCTCTTCAAAACGATGTCTCTCCTCTTAATATGCTGGACATCTGTTGGAGGGAGGGGAGGAAGAGGGTTGAGGGAAGAATGAATCAGGGTTAATTCAGGGAATGGAAAACAACTAATTCAATTTTCTAGCAAGCTGCAAAGGATCTGAAATTGCTTTGCAAAAATATCTATAGGGATCTTTTTACCCACCCACAGAAAGCAGCCATGTCTGGGATGGAGCTAGTCTCATGCAAAACATCTGCAAAGAAAGTACTTGAGGTTTATCACATTTTCACTACAAGCTCGCAGCAAGCTTGTCCTCAGGGAGAGAAACCTTTGGGGCAAAATCTGCTACAAAGACCTGAATCTCTTTGGAACGATCCTGGATATAATTCATCTCCTGCGAGGTGCAGCAAAGGTCACATACCTCTGATGCCAGGCCAGGCGAGATTAGAAGGTCCTGTTGAGTTTTGCATTTCAATAGGGATTAGTTTAAACCCAAACTCGGGCAGATTTTTGAGACTGAGCCTCGCCAAGTCAAAGTGTTCCCAAGGGGAGGAGGACTACTGACCCCCATGCACCTTAGGGCACTAGCAGGAGATGGTTGGAAGTGCCAAGCGCTGCCCCGCAGCAAGACTCTGACCCTGCAGCCATCTCCTACATGACTGTTCCCTCAGAAACAAGGTCATCCCAGGATAAAGTCACTGGCACAACAGACAAACTGAACCCATTAGTTTCAATGATCCTTTCCACTGACATTTAGGACAGCGAGGACTGACAGAGAATAGCAACCGAGGTTTCAGGAAGAATCAAAAGAGCAATAGCTATTAATTTAACAAAGGTACAGAGGTCTATGAAGATTGGTCTGCTCAGCTAACAGGGTCATTCATAAGGGCTAGATCTACCCAGGTACAAGGCACCTACAAGGGTAGATAAGTGACTAGCAGGATATCCACAAATGCTGCATCATGATTAAATGCCACTGGCTGCTGGGAGAGCTTGGGGGTCTCCATACTCTCTGTTGGGGACAACACTAAGGCACAGCTACTTGCTGCCAAACCTCTAAGCACCTTTCTGGCATCACAGTACTCCTACAGCTCCTCTCACAATACAAAGAGGCTTTTTTTAGTGCCTGGAATGAACTGTGGAAGCAGCTAAAGATGCACAGCCACCACAGCATTTTCTGGAAGCACAGTACCCAAAACTTCATCTCCCTAAACTGCCCTTTACTAGAGCTTGCTGCCTCCCTTGAGAACTGTGGCGGCACAGATCACCCCCAGCTTCAGCCTGATGGTCATGGCAGGGCAGTGAGAGCTACACACTCTTCTCCAGTGCTTGGTGAGCAAAAGCTGATGCATTAGAAGTCTCCTCAAGCAGAGGCATTAGATGGGACAGTGCCCTCTTTCCACTCCTACCCTGGGGCATTCATAACTTGGCCCCACATCTGTTTGCTCACAAACTGGACTGGTTTTGAGTCTTTTCCATCTCTTCCGTGTGCCACAGGAGCTGTACAGGTATGCACCCCTTAGCTCAGCTGCATTTCCCTTGGGGCACTGCAGATGCAGGAGGTGGAGGTGACTAACACCAGATTTCAAAGTGGCTCCAGGGAAGCATCAGTAACAGTGATCACAATCTGCCACCAGCTCATACCACCCAGGTGCCCAAGTGGGCACCCACATCAACCCGAGGGAGCATATGCCCCACAACAACATAGGTACCACTTAACGCATCAAAAAGCCAATGGACTGGAAGACTGTCATCCTATTGGCTTTCACACAATTAAGCTTTTTAATTAGGAGCTCACAGGCAGGTTTAAGGAGCTGCGAACTCTGGCCCTTTTGCTTGTTTGGGAAGATGGATGCTGCGAGATTGCATAAGCAATGGGCCTTGTAATGAACGATGCCTCTATAGAGAATTCCAGTTGACCTTTTCATTAATTGTTCAATAGACTGAAAACTGTTGGTTACCAATATTAATAATATTAGTGACATTAAGGCACAGGATGGTAGGCACATCCAAAATGGCTTTGGTTTTAAATATGCAGTGACAGCCAGGGAGAACAAATCACATGTGGACTTTGCCTTCTCCACCTGGTTTAGCTGAGTGTTTAAGGAGTACCTTGAGAAATCTGAAAAATTATGTGTTGAAATGTTAAGTGATGCACTTGGGTGAGTAAAGTCCTAATCTAAGAAAAGCTCAAATGGCAGCAATTTACTTAATAGGGTAGAGGAAAAGGGTTTTTTCGTCTTTCTCTTGGCAAGCACTTCTACAGCACTCATCACTACAGTACTTAGGATTTACTGTATTGACAAACCATGTATTTGCATTCTTGGTTTCCTGAATAGCAGCAGTCAAGAAAGCTGCAGGGAAATGATCTTGTATTAAGAGGAGCCCAAGGAGACTTTAAAAAACTCAGAATCCCAACAGAAGTGTAGCAATTACAATCCAATTGCCCCATTTGGTGTGAAGATAAAGTTAAAAAGGAAACTGTCTCAGAATAACCAGTAATACTATTTGAGATTATTTACACTTCTAATGAGTAACACCATGAGAACTGAAGCAAACCTCTCTTTCTGAACTCCCCAGGGTCTTGCCCAAAATTTTCGGCTCCCAATTTTTCCTCCCAACAACATCTTAATAAATGATCAGACATTTCTGAGAGCCGGCATCCAGACTGTGTAATTATTAAAATAATATCCCATCTGTCTTCAAGACCAGATTTCGCAGCAAGTTGTTAGGGTCACCTGAGAAGCTTCAGGGAAAAATTGTGTGAAGAATTAAAGGAGATATTGTGGCAGACAGAGTTGAACTGAGGGAGGAGCAGTCCTTCCGAGGTAGTGGACTCACGTAGCACTGCTAGATTTAAAGTAAACTTGGATAGTTATAAAAAAAAAAAGGTTCATGAAGTTAAGCAGTTTGACAGCAACTGGACAATCTTAATGTAGAGTCAGAAAAATACTTTTGCTGATCACAATTTCTCTCAACCTTGAATGGCCATAAATTTTGCTTCATAGTATTTTAGGCACAAATGGAATAATAAGTGAGTTATAATAAATTGCTTTTTCACATGCTAAAGGCCTGAAATACTGAAGTTTACATCAAATTCTTCCATTCACAGTGAGATCAGCACTATGATTAATTCTACATTACTATTAAATATGGGCTTTAAACATAAAGCAATGACAAACCGCCCTGGCACTGTGCAAATGGCTGTGTTATTGTGCTAACCTTGCATCTCTTTGCTCGTCTGTCCTGGCTGTAACTCACAAGGAAGGCCAAGTAGCCATGAAAGATGTTGTGCTGCAAGGGCACCTGGGAGGTTCATCTGCATAAATCTGTTTACCTCCTCCTGGAGAAAGCTGAGCCCTGTCTGATAAACAGCTGGTGTTTATTTGTTTTAGGCGGGCAGCGGTGTGCTAATATGTCTCGGCTGTGTTGCAGTCAGCCCTGCCGACAAGGTGTATGCAAACTGTCTTCCCATAAGTACTACTCTTTTTTTTTTCCTCCCCCCTGTTCCATTAACTTATAAAAACAAGCCAACAAGACAATTCAAAAGAAGAACCTATGCAGGAGCCACAGCAAGACCTGACAGGAAAATAACCAGACTTGACAGCATGATGGGAACTCATTCAAGGCCGTGCTGCATCTACAGGAAGGATGTGAGCGCACAACACTGAAGTAATTCCAGTTTTAAATGAAACATCTTGCAGTCCTTGTTTTGGGATTACTTTGTTGCTGCATGACACAGAAGGAGAGTTGGGCAGATCCCCCACCTTCCTTCTTGTCCATCAAGATTTAATGCACTGAGAATGTGTTTCAAGCTCTTGCCTTCACTGTTGTTCTGAATAACCCATGAAACACATCAGAAAACACCCGACCTGCAGCTGGTTGGAAACGCATATGACTTCAGTTCAATGATGATAGCACATGGGTAAGCTAGAGCATTAACAAGAAGGTAAGTCTGGGACACTGCACTCACCTTTACATATTGCTTCCAGAGCTGAAAGCTTTCCTTTCATCTGGAAGAGCCAAAGCAGAAGGGTTGTGGCTTTGGATCTGTGATGGGATCTTACCTAACCTCCTCTGAACCTTTTGCAGGATGGTTGACTTGATCTGTGCTTAAAGCCCACTCAGTCAGAAAAGTGGCTGTCTAAACACAGCGACTTCTTCCTCCCCATATTCGCTCCCATGTGTCCCTTAGTCATGTCTGCTCCTTTCCTCAACACAAACATATTCTAGTTTGCTAACCTTGCAAACCCAGTACAGCCATGGGATATAGGGGAAGAAGAGGAACAAGATTAATTCTGCTTTTCTTGTACATCAATCTACCATGTCCTGATGGGTCACTTCTGCACTGACCCCTGGGATGGAGCCTGGAAAAGCCAGAACTTTTTCACTTAAATCACTGATTCAATGACTCTTCACCCATCTTTTACACTCATATTGCAGAATCTCTCTTGCTTGTGACACGATCAAGGCAAAAAGACCCTGACTCAACCTCCAAATCCCAGGTAGAGCATATAGAGCTGGTAACAGACTGTGTGCAAGGTAAACAACTTTTTTCTAATAACCACCACATTTCAATCATGTGAGCAGAAATCAGGAAGTTGCATAGGTACATTTCATGAATCTAATTTTCCAAGTATTGTCTCATTTCCAAATCAGTCCTGGGGGTCAGACGAAGAAGAGATGGGTTGAGTGGCACTGCACATTCTGCATTTCAGATTCCCATTACAGCCAGCATCCTTAAAACCATGGTTTGATAATACTCCTGAAACCTGGATGCACATGATTGTGTTTGGACGCAGATGACTACAGTGGGAGGTAAATGGACAAATCGAACTCCAAACAGAGTAAACCATGAGCAGTGCCAGTACTTAAGTTACAGCAAAATGCAAAACTACTTCTTAAGCTGGATCATTTACACCAGGTCTGAAGTTAATTCCTCACATCTCCTTCTTTCAAAGTCCTGAACAGTGGTCTGTCTGGTTGCTGTATTTCTGGTGGATTTCCTGTCCTTGGACTCTTAATTCACAACCAACATGTAGCTTACTGGGGAAAC